TCTCTCTCTCTCTCTCTCTCTCTCTCTCTCTCTCTCCCTCTCTCTCTCTCCTCTCTCGCTCGCTCGTGCTCTCTCTATCTTTCACTCACTCTTTCTTGCCATCTAGTCAGAACTGGCTCACACTTGACCCCCCAGAGGTTTTCAGGCGGTATAACAGGAGATTTCCCATCTTCCTCCCATAGAGTTCATAAGGTTGCTGGTGGATCAGACACCAGAGCAGAAGTGCCTTTGGGTGACCAGCACAACTCCTTGTGGACCCATGTCTGCACCTGCAGGACAGGGCATGGTGTACTTGCCACTGACTGTGCTGGGGAAGGGAGCTCCATAGACCCCTGGGTTCTTGCCTTCAGTTCCCCTTTGCTCTTGTCACCACAGCACATAAACTACAGCACAGTAAAGGTAGAAAAGTTGAGTAGAGTTCTCCAGAGATGCATAGAGATGAGGGAAGGATCAGGTCTCTCAGAGGACGGGCCATATCAGGCACCTCCCGAGATTCCAATGAGCCGTGAGGTCTAAGCCAAAAGTTACTGCTAAGCTATTTGCAGTGTTGAACATTCAGTTTTCTGATTAGCCGTGTGACGCTAGGGCAAGCCAGACAGTGAGAACCAATTTAGACTGTAAAAGACCCAGCCACCACCGTACTGGGATTTAATTGTCACCTTTTTAGCTTATGAACTAGGAACAACTTGAATTTAGCCATTGGTGGTCTATGGATGATGAATAATGCATGTTTCTGAGTAGTAGAAAAATACTTCTTATAAAACAAAGATGATACTATCCAAAAGATGCTGTTTGTTTATTTTAAGAAGTCTAATTTAATTTTCATTATTTAAAGAACTACTTAGCCCTTTGGCAAATGTGTTCCGGTTGTTTTGTTTAGATGGTGTCTTAATACAAAGAAACTGCTCTTTTTTCCATCTTTAGGTATTAAATCTTTGCCCTGCACCATCCTGAGCCCGCTGGGAATTTTATGAGAGTCGTTCAGTTCATATGGGTGGTGAGATGAGGCTTAGCAGGGTCCTCTCAGGGGTTTTATATTTCAAAATATTTGCACACAGAGAGGAGGGGTCCATCCTTTCCTGGGTACAGAAAGTGACTTAACAGCCATCTAAGTCTAACATGACATTTGAATTTTTCCACTTAACTCAAAGTTCCCAGATTCTGCAATGCTCTTCTTTCAAACCATCGCCACCTCAATCTTTTCCACTCCGCTGAGCCCCTTTCTGGGCAGTGTCATTTTCATCATGTCGTATGTCAGACCAGTGAAATTCTGGGAGAAAAACTACAAGTAAGATCCTAAAATTCTGTCTGTCCCTCCCACTTGCACTTTCCCTTCCTGCTGCTCAAGGTCCCAGGTTCCTGGCTGCACCCCACGTGGAGCATGGCAGAGCCTGTCCTGAAAGATAACCTCATACCCAAGGTCTTGTCAGCACTGGGATCTGAGGTCTCAGGACCAAATACATCTTAACAGTTCTCTGTATGTGGGGTTGTTAACCTGATGGCTTAGTGGTAAGGAATTGTGTTGCAAACACAAAGGCATGTGGTTTGAATCAGCTAACAGCTCTGTAGAAGAAAGATGGGTCCTCTCCACCCATGCAGTTTATGGCCTCTGAAAACCCAACAGAGGGTCAACTCTGAGTTGAATCCAACTCGACCGTACATTAACAGCATTAGTCCTTCATGGCATCAGAACAGAACTGTGGTCCAGCCTCATGGGTTCCTAAAGCAATGACCTGCACCACCATACCTTCATTTCAAGACAGCTCCAGGTGCACACAACCTCCCACCTTGTGGTCAACAGTTGGGTGTTACTTGTTTACACAACACAATCAGTCTTAGAAGGTATCCACTATTTGTCAGGTTGAAGTCCCTGGCTTGCCTGCAGACTCACTTAAGGAAGTACTTTGAGTCAAACTAGCAGATCACAGTGGACACTGGCAGGCCAGTCTGGGATTGTCACATACTGGGAGGGGGCCAAACATGTGGGGACATCCTTTGTTCCTCTCAGGTTTGTCATCTACTAAGACAGTTTTTTATTTTGTGTTTCATTTTCAAACAAAGTCATCTTGAAATTTACTCAAAACCAAGCATTCCCTTTTGCCTTTGTCTGAAAGGACAGGACACGTATTTACAAAGTCAGAGAGTAAAGAAAAATGACCAGAATTGGCTTGCTTTCAGCTTTTTTTTTAGGAGAATACCGTTTTGAGGTCTTTTTTTGGCACACCGAAAGTCAGATCTCTGGAGGTTACAAAAACAAATAAGGTCATCTTTCTATGTTAGCACAGGCTGGTGGATCCATTTCACTGAACAACCAAGAGCTAACCACTGTGCTTCCAGGATTCCCTAAGACTGGAAGGTACAAAAGCTTGGAAATAGGAGGAGTGGCATTATCTTCTTATAGACAATACAAAATATTTATTTGCCTTTTATTCTAAGGTATGTTAGGAATCCATATTCTTTGCATGCTATGTGCTAGAATGTTCTTTCTATCTTTGTTATTTAAAAACCACTTTCTGATTAAGGTAGTAAAATTTAAATGTCACCAATCAAAAGGGGCATGGAGGAGTCTTGGTATTTAGCTTCTTTGATTTTAAGGCTCAGCCACCATTGAGGGCTCTGTGTTTTGATTTGAATTGTTGGTTTATAAGGTCAGTTAAAAGTACAGAATTGTGGAGCAGAATTTATATCCCTTTGCTCAGTCTCAGAAAGCTTTGACTTTGCTGTGGTTCATTCTCTTCAGGATTAAATGCTATTGTCAGGGGCCCTCACATTGACTCCCATTCCTAGCAGCTCTGGGTACCACTGAGCAAAGCCTTGCCTGATTCTAACCCCTCCTCTAAATTCCCACTGTGCTCCCATCCATCCATTTTTGTCACTATGTCAGTCCATCTCATTGTGGGTCTTTCTCTCTTGCCCTGACATTCTATTTCTTGAATGTCCCTCTTCCCATACTGGCATCTTCTGAAAATATGTCCAAAGTTTGTGACATGAGTCCCACCATCCTTGCTTCTAAAAAGCACTCTGGTCCCTCTTCTTTTAAGACAGATTTTTTGGTTCATTGGTCAGTCCATGGGATAGTCAATACTGTTCTCCAACACCACACTTCAGAGACCCCAATTCTTCTCCTGTTCCTTATTCATTGTCTGATTTTTTCATATGTATTAAGCAATGGGGGGGGGGGCTGGTAATGGTTTGCATGGGTGCACCTAAGTCTTTAAAATGAAATCCTTGCTCTTGAGCACTTTAAAGAAATCCTTGATTGTAGATTTGCCCAGGTAATACATTGCACTTTGTTGTTCGATTTCTTGACTTCTGCTTCTATGTGTGTTGTCTGGGAGTTCAAGTAAAGTGAAGCTTGTGATATCTTCATATTTTCTCCATTTATCATAGTGTTATGTATTAATACATTTGTGGTAAATTTTTGTTTTCTTTCTGTTGCTGCACAACCCATACTGAAAGGTATAGTTTTTAGCTTCTTCAATAAGCGCTTCAAGTCTTCCTTAGTTTCAGCAAGTCAGGTTGTGTCACCTGCATAACTAAGGCTGTTGAGGAGGCTCCCTCTAATCCTAATACCACGTTCTCCTTTATATAGTCCACTTTTGAGGATTATTTCTCAGCATAAGATTTAATAGACATGGTGAAAAGATACAGCCTGGACACATACTTTCCCTGATTTTAAACCATGCATCTTGTTCTGTTCGAATGATTGCTTCTTGGTCCATACAGGTTTTGCATAAGCACAGCTAAGGATTCTGGAATTCTTATTCTTCTCAATGTTATCAATCCACATATTTTAATATTTTTGCATAGTGAATAAAATGTAAGTAAGCATCTTACTGGTATTCTCTTTCAGCCAAGTACCATCTGACTTCTGCAATGATACCCTTTGTTCAGTGGCCTTTTCTGAATCCAGCTTGAACTTCAGGAAGTTTTCTGACTACTGATTCAACCATTTTAAATTTAAATTTTAAAATAAAATTATTTCAGCATTAATTTACTTGTATGAGATATTAATGGTATTGCTTAATAATGTCTGCATTTTGTTGAGTCTTTTTTTTTAATGAATATAAATATGGATTCCCTTCTAGACAGTTGGCTACAATGCTGTCTTCCAAACTTCTCAGCATAGTTGAATGGACAGATCCAGGGCTACATCTGTTTGTTGAAACATTTCATTTGGTATCCTATCAATTCCTGGAGCTTTAGTGCCAATGGTTCTTGATCATATGCTACTTTCTGAAATGATTGTGCATTAACCATTTCTTTTTCATACAATGACTCTGTATTCCTCCATATTCTTTTTATGCTTTATGCATCACTCAGTATTTCTCCCATAGAACACTTCAGCCTTGCAACTAGAGGCTTAAATTACTCTTTGGTTCTTTCAGCTTAAGAAATGTCAAGCGTGTTCTTCCTCTAACTTTTCTAATTTCAGGTCTTTGCCTGTCTCATTGCTTTGCCTTGTTGAGCTGCCCTTTGAAATCTTTTATACAGCTCTTTTAATCATCATTTCTCCCTCTCACTTTAATGTCTCCACATTGAACAGCAGTTTTCAGACTCTCCTCTGACATTCATTTTGGTTCTTCTTTCTTTCTTGGGGTTTTTGTTTTGTGGGGTGTTTTTTTTTAAATTGCTGCATTCTTCATGTATGATATCCTTTATATCATCTCACCAGTCACTCAAATTGATCTGATAACTCACCTGATCTTCAATCATTCATGTTCAGTGTATCCAGTCTGTTCTTAGGATGGTCTCTAAATTCAGTGGGATAGTCTCAAGACTGAACTTGACTCTTATAGATTTATTTTTCATTTTCTTCTGTTTCAATTTGAATTTGATTATGAGTAGTTGATGGCCTTCACCACCGTCAGCTCCTGGCCTTGTTCTGACTGATAATATTGAGCTTCTCCTCTTTGTCCAGACATAGTTGATTTGATTCTCATGTATTCCATCTGGTAAATGGCATATGTATAATCCTTGCTTTAAAAAAATAATTGCATTGAATAAGTCATTCATCGTAAAAAAAAAGAAAAGAAAAGAAAATCCATCCTGCATCTCTGCCCTCATTTCTATAACAAGGCCATATTTTCCATTTTCAAGTTCTGCACGATGCAGCCTGTTACTATATTAAGGAGTTCTGGCTGTGCAGCGGTCATGCACTAGGCTGCTAGCAGGAGGCTTGATGGTGTAAACTACACACTGTAACTCAGGAGCAAGACAGACAGTCTGCTTCCTTTAGAAGCTCCCTCCCCAGTTCCCACTGAGTCATTGAGGAGACTCTAACTCACAGGGAGCCTCTATTTTGTTTCCAAGTCTTTATATATTAATGGAAAAGATTTTCCATTGTTCTCCCTCAGAGAGGTTGGTGGATTCGAACTGCCAACCTCTCAATTACCAGCTTGCTAGATTATACACTACATCATCTGGCTCCTTCTGTGATGGTTATATAGTCTTGAAAATCCTGAGGGAGAGTTCACCTTATCTTACTGGGAAGCTGGGGCTTGCAATTGACTGAGCACAGCAGGCTTGGTTGTGAGTTTTCAGTCCTATGCTGTGTGAAGTTGAGGCTTCCATTTTTATTCGCCTTTTTCTGAGGTGGAAGGACAGGGACGCCAGGGCCTGTGGGCATGCAAGAGACAAATAACTCTTTACTAGAGCACTTGTTATTAGGATCTAGGTTATGGGGAAATTTTAGTTACACCAAGGACAAACAGCCTTGCTGCAAAATCCACTTTGCTACCTGTCTATTGTCTCAGTTAAGACACCAGAACACAGACTTGTATTGTCCATCTGTTTAAAAGATCAGTGGGTAGAAATTCAAGACAGTAAGGTAGTGACAGATACCTTTAAAGGAAATGGTGAGAAATCACACCTGGATCTCTGGATCCCTACAAACACTCTGAAAAGCTTCATTTATCTATTTTAACCTGTTGGGTTTTTATTCAATATTGATGCTTTCTAGGAGACTCTAGGTGGTGCAAATGGTTAAACTCTTAACTGTTATCAACTTGGTGATGAAAGTTGGTGGTTCAAACCTACGCACAGGCACGTTGAAAGACAGAGCCAGTGACCTGCTTCCCAAGGTCACAGCCTGACAACCCTGTGAGCAGCTCTCCTCTGCTCCTGTGGGGTCACCGCGGATGGGACCAGTGCTGTGGCCGCAAACAACAGCCCTGATTCTCGGTGCTGGCTTGCATGCCCTTATGACCTTCCCTGCGTTCTGCTCCAAAGGAATATTGAAGCTGGTGTAATGACTCATGCTTAACTTTAAACTTTCACTAGTTGTTT